CTCTCGCTGTCCGAGCTGCTCTCGGTGGGGCTGAGCCCGGCACAGACACTCGGGCTGTCACCGCTGCAGCCCCGGGGATGGAGAGGCTGTGTCTGCAGCGCATTGGATTACACACGAACATGAACCTTGCTCTGCACTCTTTTCCATTCCGTCTTTATTTATTCTTTCCCATAAGCAGCACAGGAAGACAATCATTTATTCCAACTACAAAAACCACTGAGATGCCTTTCAGGACCTAACAATGTTTAGTCAGTGTTCTTACTTTGCAGTTTACGAGGTATTTCAGGGATAAATTACGTCTCATTGCTAAGAGCTGAGCAGCTCCTAGCAGGGAGGGTTTCCARTTATGTTTTTCTAACAATCATAAGCTTGTTTGTAGCTCAACGCTTAAGCAGTTCCAGCACCTATCAGGCTGAAGCCACTGGGATTTCAGTATGTTGCATGGATATTTTATAACTTAAGTGAAAATTCTACCTGCAGTCTTAAATACATAAATATCTTCTGCCACCTGGCTCTACTGAAAAGCTTTYTGCTAATAAAATTCAGTATTTCTCTAATGTAGGGGTAACTGTATATTTAATTTGCATGTTTTCTATCAACACAGTGGTTATTGCAGTATTTTTCTATGCCAGCCTCTTGGTATCAGGTCATACATCAGTAGGATTTTAAGCTTTGGGCTTTTCAGGGGATTCTTTCCCTAAGCTCCAAGTCAGATTCAGCATCTGTTTGGGGGATGCATCTCCTCAGGTGGTTGCAGCCTGCAGCCCAGCATTGCAGGCGTGGGGTGSTTGCAGCTGCTCAGTGGTGAGGAGACATTTGCACACTCTGTTCACTCTGGGGTTCACTCCCCAGTGCCAGCCCACAGAAAGCAGCAGCACAGCCACTGCCCCGAGCACACCCAGGCGTTCCCAAGGACCATTCCCAAGGGACCATTCCCGGGCTGTTCCCAAGAGGCCATCACACCGTGGTCTCCGTTTTTGTAACACTTCTACTGCGAAGGTGTTGCCGKATCAGGCTCTTCTCTTTCAGGTACCTGAGAGGGAGAATGTATTTAAATAACCTCTGCARACTTTCAATCCAAATTCTAATGAGCTGGTCAGGTGGCAATGAAAACTTCCCCAATGCAGGCAGGTTTATTATTTTCTAAACATTTCTTGGACACTTTGAYTCAACATGATTATCAGCCCATCATCCAGTAAGAGCTGTGGCTGCTGTCGCCTCTCAGTGCTCTTGGCTTCCCATGCTCACAAACATGGGAGCCCCTTTGGCTTGTACCTGAGGGGAATTTTGAGCTACTGCCAGAGCATTTCGGTCACTCACAAGTTTTAAAGGGACATCTGGCACTGAYGTGGCTTAAATGCTACAGAACCAAAACAGTACCAGGTGAGTATTGTGTTTATCCCTTCCAAGAAATACAGAGCAGCAAATACAAACTGAGGAACCACTCAAAGGCTCAGAAAGCAAACAGCAAACAAAATAAACAGAATTTACCCAGAGGGTCCAARTTTTCTGAAGGCCCCACTCTGTGTGTATTACTCTGGAATATTTAAGAGGAACAGAATAGGGAAAGGATTATAAACCCTCCCAATCCCTCCAGCCTTCCCATCACRGTGTTCTGCTGGCACTCTTCTACCTACATGTGTCCTCAGGAASCAGGCCACAATGTACACATTCCCCTCGACTCTGTGACACGCCTCATTTTATGTCTGTTTACCTTGCAATTGTCTGTTGAATTTCCTGCTCCTCCTCTTTATTTAATCTGTGCAGAATTGATTCCAAGAAGGGAAGATGAAACGAAATGTACTGAGCAACCTAACARGGTGAGGACAAGAAAGGCACTAACTGTGGTTATTGAGAAAAATCCCATGAACTATCCCAAGTGAGCATATACGTACATCACTGCTGATCTCCTCTACATCCCCATCCATGAGGAAGAGCTTGGCAACCTCAGAGGGCCCCTGCAGCAGCCGCTGCAGCAAGGGAACATCTCCACTCCTCAGCTGCTTCTTTTCTGGGATTTAAAAGCAATGCCATGAAACACCACAGGGCCTTTATCTACCTCCTGTCAGCCTTTTTTCCTGACACAGATCCCATACTGACACAAGTGCTATTACCAKATACCTAACAGGTCCCCAATATTGTGCCATCTAAGGTACCTTCCCCCTCAGKACCCTCCTATTTTCTCAGGTGTTCCCATTAATAAAGACCAAATGTCCCTTTTCGTGAAAAGGTAAGAGTAAACTGCTATGGAAGTATATTTTTTCCCACTGAAAATTGAGTACTTTGAATTCAGCAAATGCAATCCAAAGCTGTCAGCTGAAAGGGCCCAAAACACAATTACTCAGTTTTTCCTGTCCAGAGGAGACATCTCTGAAAGGTCCGTGGAAAAGACAAAATGCCACACTACACACACRGTGCCCAAATGAGGACAGAGGCCTGGGGTGACTCCTGTCACTCCAAGGGACACATTCCACACGCACACACACACAGAGGATGATTAGAGATGAGCTGAGTGGTCAGTCTGCAGTGCCCAGCTTACCTCCAGATGCATGGACAATGTAAAGTGCAAATTCATGGGGGCTGTTTTCTATCTGTGAAACAAAAGAAAATCCACTGAGGCTC